TGAACAAAATGCATGCTAACAGCGGGGTGACAGGCTGTCACATCCTGCAAGGCTGACTGATGAGGTGACAGTGACTTGGAGGACGGGAGGGAAGATGGATGGGCAAACTGCCCAACGTCACCTCTGCAGAACGAAGTCTGGCTGTTGATGAGCTGTCCAGAGTCTCGATCGATTTCTTGTCTCAGATGACTTTGCTCTGGCCAGCTTCCTCGGGATCCAGCAGCAGGGCACATAAATCAGGGCAGGACTGTGCGGCTGGTGCTCACTTTTGTGTTGACATGCTGGGAACCCTGTTACCTGCAGCCTGATTTGGGAACTGCTGTCTGGTCTTGCTCTGACAGCTCACATCAGAGCAGGTAGAAGAGTTTTCACTAGTGAAGTGCAAGGCCTAGGCGGGATCCCTCAGAGCTATGATTTCTAAGGTATGGAAGTGTTGGAACAACCTGGAGGAGGCATGCTGCTGTTTTAAATATATGCTTCAGGACAACAGCTGCCCCCTTTGCTGATGTGGGTGAATCCAAGAGTGACGCGGCCTCCTCAGCTGGGGGCTGTTCTCCGGCAGATGTCTCTCTGTGCTGGGGTCACATATCTGCATAGATTACCGTAGACCAGTTAACATCCTTCATTTGGCTGACTGTGTGCTCCATCCTTCCTTCAGCCTCCTGTGGGAAGCCTGGGTGGGGACTACTTGTTCAGCCAGTGGAGGGGGCCTGGCTGGGACCAGAGGTCCCCAGTGTGGATAGATGGCCCACATAGCCTATCCTCCCTCCTGTTGTGCCAGGGCACACCTGGGTCATATACAGTTTAAATTTCCACCGTTTTGTGTCCTCTTTTCCAAGTGCTCATGGTAACAGGCAAGCAAGTCCTTTGTGAGTGAAATAAAGGCCAGGCTAAGGTGAGGGTGTTGTCAGGACTGGGTAGTGGTGGGGTCTGCACACAGGTCAGCCAAACTGAAGCCACTCAGCTGTAAATGCTGCAGTGGGCGAGGAGATCGGGGTGGGGGTGGGGTCAAGGCTATGCCTCCTCAGCCATATCAGGTCAGGATATTGGCGCTCCCAGGAAGCCCGAGTGTTATCCAGTATATCTACTCAGCCATGCTCCTCCTAGGACCCACACCTTCCCTGGTGACAGGGTGGCACCGACCCATATTTCTTTACAAGCCAGTGGGAAGTAGGATGCCACACAGTATCCAGCATATTTGCATTTTAGAGCTTGGAAGGGACCTGAGGGATTTAGTACAAATTAATATTGTGTTGTGAGAAGACAGAGAGAAGCTGATGGGCTTGGTCAAGGTCATAGCCCCTCCTGGGGCAGTTAGGTGGCCTGTCAGTGGATTTGTCCCCACGGATTCACGCACGCCTGGATTTCCAGCACTTCATTCTCTCTGCCGGCCCACTGCTTAGTGTGCAGTGATTCTGAGCCATTAAGTTTATTTCCTCTCTACTCAGCATAGGAAGAAGTGTAATTGTGGGAAAGGGAACCCTATGTCCACATTTTTTATCTCTACTTCTCATTTCTGTACACCTTGATTTCCTAGCTACTCAGCAACAGGGAAATTAAAATGGCGTTAATAAAAATGAACTCTCTCAGTTATTCCAAATATGGATTGGTTTAAAATGAGTTGTTAATATATTTCTCATAAATAATATTAGGTCACTTCTTTGCCTGTAAAGAATTATAGAATATGAATTTTAAGGGCCCTTAGAGGGATAACCCAAATCTAGCTCCTCTTTTCATCGTAATCTTAAAACTTTTTAAATTATGTAATGTTTCAGAACATTAAGAGAAATGAATACCCATGAGCCATTGCCCAGCGTTAGCAATTATGAATTCAGAGCCACTCTTGTTTCATCTAGAAACATCCCCTACCTCAGGATTATTTTCAAATGAATCCCAGATATCATATCATTTTAGCATCTCTAAAAGGTACGGATGCTTTTTCTTAAAGTTAGCAACAGCACGGTCATCACAATGAGGTAATGAGCAAGAATCCCTTAATATTGCATATTACCGCCAGTGCCGTCACTGTCAGTGTCCCCTCGTTTCTTAAGTTTGTTTGAATGAGATCTGAATAATGTCCCTGCCTTGAGCTTAGTTGATATGTTGCTTGTGTTGCTTCATGTGCAGGTCCTCTTGGTCTTTTCTTTGCATTTTTTGTTTAAGAAATTAGGCTGTATGTCCTGTAGACTTTCCCACAGTCTGTTTTTGTGGATTGCATGCTTGTGGTGTTATTTAATGTGTGTCCCTATACCCTGTATTTGCTGGAAATTGGTAATTAGATCTCGGGGCATGATAAGATTCAAGGTTTTTGTTTTGCTTTGGTGGGAAGGAGACTTCAGAGATGCTATCCATGTTCCTCCAGCAGGGGCACATATGCCTGGTTGTCTCTCACTTTGTGATGTCAGCACTCACTGATGCTTACTACCTAGAGCCGTTAATTTGGTGTGGTTTGTAAAATATGGAAATGTTGTCATGGATTTTTTTATTTTACATGCAGGTATGACTTATAGTCAATGCATGTAAATTAAGTATGCAGCTAATGCATTTATACCTATGAATACATCTGTGTAATAGTTACCATCAGTAAAGACAGAGAACATTTAGCCCCAAAATGTTCTCTCATACCCTTTCTTGTCAGTACCCCACATCCCCACACACTCAGAGGTAGCACCAGTCTGGTTTCTGTCACTGTAGATTAGTTTTATGTGTTCTTTGTGTAAGTGGATTCAACAGTATGTGTTCTTTTGTGTTTTTTAGTTTATCATACTATTTTAAGCTTTATTCTTCCATTGCATCGATTGTAATTTGTTGTTGTTGTTGTTGTTTTGTTTTTGTATTGCCGTGTTGTATTGTGTTATATAAAAGGCCACAGTTTATCCATTCTGCTATTGAAGGACATTGGATTGTTTCTAGTTTGGGTATATTATGAATAAAGCTCCTATAATCATTCTCATACAGATCTTTCTGTAGATATTTCTTTTAGATCTCTGCGTACTGTGCTAGATACCAGCTGGGCTGGAAGTGTATTTAATTTTGGTCCAACAGCAAAGGGTTCTCCAAAGTAGTTGCATGTTTTCTACTCCCACCAGCAGTGTGTGAGCGCTCCAGTTACTCCACGTGCTACCCACACATAGTATTGTCAGTTTTGTCAGTTTTAGCCACTCGGGTGGGTATGTTTTAATTTCTTTTTATTGGAGTATAGTGCCCATGAAGTGCAATGCACAGATTTAAGTGTGTGGTTTAGTATGTTCTGATGAATACACCTGTGTCATGTACTCTTTGGTGGGGCTATAAAACATTCCCACATGCCAAAAGTTTCTCATGCCTCCTTCCAGTCACCCTTCTAGAGGAGGCCACCTCTTCTGATTTTTATCGCTTTAAATTCATTTACCTGCTCTTGAACTTTGCATATAGTGGAACCATAGCATGTGTACTCTTTTGTGTCTCACCTCTTTCTCTGATCATAATATTTTTGAGATTTATCCATGTTACATGTGTCAGTGGTTAGTTCTGTTTTATCACCAAGTAGCCCACTGTTGTTCATCCATTCTCCCGTTGATGGACATTTTGGTTGTTCCCATGTTAGGCTTTATGAATGAAGCTGTTGGGAACATTCTCATGTAAGTTTTTTTCTACATGAACTCTTATATTTCTTTAGAGCAAACGGGTAAAATTACTCTGTCACAGGGTCATGCATGTAATTCACATGCCATAAAATTCACCTATTATAAATGATTCAGTGATTTTTAGTAAATTTAAAGAGTCGTGCAGACGTTATCTCAATCCCTATTCCCACACCCAGTCCCTGTCTGCCTTCTGTCTCTAGAATTTTCCTTTTCTGGACCTTGCATATAAATAGAATCGTATAATATGTAGTGTTTTGTGTCTGGCTTCTTTCATTCTGTATGGCATGTTTGAGTTTCATCCATATTGTACCATGTGTATCAGTAGTTTGTTCCTTTTGTTCCTGGATAGCATCCCACGTACGTCTGTCCCACATTTTGTTCATCCATTTACCATTTGATGGGCATTTGGATCACTTCCAGTTTTTGTCTATTAAGAATATTGGTGCTGTGAACACTTGCATACAGACATGTGGACATGTTTTCATTTACCTTAGTAGATGTGTAGAAATAGAGTTGTTGGGTTGTGTGGTAAGTTTATGTCGAATGTTTTTAAAAAACTGCCAAACAGCTTTCTAAAGTGCTGTATTTTTACATTCCTGCCAGCAGTGTTTGAGGGGTATAGTTTCTCCACATCCTCGCCAACACTTTTTTACTGGATTTGTGAATTGTTGCTATAGTCATTATAGTGGAAACGAAGTATCTCGTGGGTTTGTTGTTGTTGTTGTTGTTGTTGTTGATGTTTTTGCATTTCCCTAAGGACTAATGATGTTGAACATTTTTTCACGATTTTACTTGCAACCTCTTTGGTGAACTGTCTATTCAGATCTTTGGCCTATTTTAAACTAGGTTATTTGTCTTCTTATTGTTAGTTGTAAGGGTTTGTTATAGATTCTGGACACAACTTCTTTATCAGATATATGGTTTGCAAATATTTTCGCCTGGTTTGGCTTGTCTTTTCATTTTCTTAATGGCATCTTTTGAAACACACATGTATATAATTTTGATGAAATCCATTTTATAAATTTTCAAATTTCAAGATCATGCTTTGGTGTCATATCTAAGAAAATTTATTTAACCAAAGATCATGAAGATTTTCTCTTGTTTTTCCTAGAAGTTCTGTAGTTTTAGCTCATACATTTAGGTCTCTGATCCACTTTGGGTTAATTTTTGTGTATGGTAAAGTCAAGGTCTAAAATTAATCTTCTTGCATGTGGATTTCAGTCGTCTCAGTAGTTTGTTAAAAAAGATTATTCTTTCTCCCATCGAAGTGACTTGGCCCCTTTGTCAAAAATCACTTGACCAGCAATGTATTGGTTTATTTCTGGACCCTCATCTGTTCTGTTGATCTCTGTGTCCCACACTGCGTTGATCCTGTTGCTTTAGAGTAGGTTTTGGAGTAGGAGATGTATCCTTCACCTTTATTCTTTCTTCTTTTTCACTCTGGGAAAGGAAGTCTTGGCTCCTCTGGGTCCTTTGCTTTTCCATGTAAATCATAAGGTCAGCTTGTCAATTTCTGCAAAACAGTGCTTGCTGGGGTTTGTGGGGAGGAATGCATTGAAGCCATAGCTCAGTTGGCGGAGAGTTGCCATCTTAACAATATCGAGTTTTCCAATCCACGGACATGGATTATCTCTTGACTTATTTAGCTCTTTTCTCTTTTCCTTTTCCAGGACTACAATTATAGCATGTTAGATTATTTCATGTGGCCCACATGTCACTCACACTCTATTCTTTTCCTTTTTCTTCCCTGTCTATACTTCAGTTTAGATTATTTTCGCTGACTCATTTTTCACTTTTATCTTTTTTCTGCTGCGTCTAATCAGTTAAGTCTATCCAATATATTATCTTAATTGCAGATAATATATTTTCCAGTATTAGAGTGGTCCTTTTTGCAGTTCCACTCCTCGGATGAAATCTTTGATTTTCCCTCATTTTGTTCATCTTTCTTCTAAATTCCTTAGCACTTATTGTAATTATTTTAAATTCCTTGTCGGAAAATTCCAACATCTGGATCTTCTGAGAGTCTGCTTCTGTTGACGTTTTTTTCCTGTTAATCATGGTTCACATTTTTCTCTTTTCTTACATGCTTTGTACTTTGGGGGAGGGAGGGAGATGCCAGTCATTGTCTTTAAAAGAATGATATTATTTTTCCCCAGAAAGGCATCCTTTCCTCTGTCTGGCAGCTACGGTGAGGAAGTAATTACTACCCTCCAATTAGGAATTAAGATTGGTCGGGGCTGGACTGCAGCATTGGTATCTGTTTATCCAAAGTTTCAAATGACTTAGGTGCAAGCTCTGTCTGCATACAGTGTCCTGGGCACCCAGTGCCATGGGTTCTGTGCTCTCTTTCCTGACCATGGGCGTATACACCGCTGCCTTGACGAGAACCTCAAAATGAGCATAATACACCAGATTTTTTTTTGTTTTTTTTTTTTTTTTGAAGAGTAGGGATAACACACAAGCACTTTAACTGGTAAGAAACTTGAAGCATCTTTATATTAAAACAAAAAGCATCTGTCATGGAGTGAAATACAAAATTCACTTGGCTTTTTTCAATAGAAGAGAAAATGTCGTCTGTTTACCATCTGTCGCTTGCCCCTCAGGGCCAGTCACTGTGCTGACTCTCAGACTCACCAATGGCCACTCGGAGGAGTCTGAGGTGCCGCATCTCTCCTGACAGCAGATCTGAGGCTGGAACCTTGTACCTGCCCTTCTCTCTGGACCTTCTTCCTCCTCGCAGGTCATGCCTAGGGCCAGACACGAATGTCCTCCAGCACAGAGCGACTTCCACGGGAATGGCCAGAGACGTCGTCACCATATAAAAGCGAGATGCCTTTTTAGGTGGGAGCCACTTATGGACCCTTTAACACTTCAGAAAAGGAGAAGCCTCCATTAGGAACACTGTTCCTGGAACAGAGGCATCCATGCACGTGCGTGTGTGCATGCTTTCTGATCTTTTTTACTATGTTTTTTTCTTTCTTTTTAGGTTTGGGAAAAGTTCTTAAGTTCTGAAACTCCACAGGTTAATGTATTTATGGCAGTGCCTACAATATACAGCAAGTTGATGGATTATTATGACAAGCATTTTACCCAGCCTCATGTCCAGGATTTCGTACGTGCAGTTTGTAAAGAAAAGATCAGGTAAATGAAAATACTCCATCTTCCCATCCAGAAAGTCTTAAAGATCCACAAATATAACTTACTTCTAATAAATCAGTTCTGCTAAGTATTAGGAAGCAGTGTTTTCCATTTCCTTTAAAATATATATGTACGTATTTATATCTACAGTCTCTACATATCTGCATGTACTCTGTATCTGTATCTCTAGCCTATCCCTCTGTAGAGCGATCTGCATGTATATCTCTATATTCTATCTGTTTTTCTCTATCCGTCTTGCGGCAGAGTCTGAAAGATGGGGGTGAGGACAGTGAACTGACCGTCTCATTTCCGTCCTTTCTGACCCCCCATCTATGTGCCCCCACCCCCTCTGTATCATTTCTCTCCAGCATAGTCTGCGGCTCTTGGAGTCCTCCCTGCTGGGGGCCCCATCACATCCCTCTTGACAGAGGTACGCCAGAGTCTTTGGGGTCCTTCAGTGACGTGAAGTGTGCTCTTTACTCTTAAGAACTGTGGACGTGATACGCTCCTCTCCCCGTTTGTTATTGAAGTGTGACCCTTAGAGCGCACACCTAAGTGAGCAGCGTGGTGAGTTTCACAGGCCCAAAAGACGCACATCACCACAGAGACACAAGCTATGTCTGTGGCGAGCACAACCTTTTAACACCTCAGTGAGTGAGCTGCTAGACAAACAAGAATTTTAAATTCTGAATGTATTTGTGTGCATATCCCCGTGGACTTCGTGCCACTCCGTGCATCCGATTCTTAGTCCTTAAGAACACAGGAAGGGCACCTTTGTTTCCCAGAGAGAATTCTGAATTAGCCAAGACAAATATTTGATATTATTATGATTTCGCTCCCACCACTCCTCTGTTCCTCTTCTTTTGGTGGAACTACAACCCCAGTCTGAGATTGCCAGCTGCCCATCGGCTGCCGGCCCACCCTCTCACGGGGAACTGTGGGGTTGGGCAGCTGCTGATGGAAGTGTCCGATGCTCAGCCACCAATATGAACATGGGCTTAGGAGCACTTTCTACCGATTCCTACAGAACCCAGGGCAGAAATGATATGAGAGGAAACCAGGGTGATTTCTGGGGTGACAGAGACCCCAAGACCTGACCAGTTTGGGCTCATGTCCTTGTGAGTTGTACACACTTGTGAGGAAGCGCAGTGGTCATTACTTCTGCTTGAACTAGAACCAAAAATCTCTTCCTTTCTACACATAATGCTTAAGTGACACAGTATATGCCAGAGCATTGTGGAGCTCTCAGATGTTTTATAAATGTCACTGTCACCTTCATGAGCCCATTAGCACAAGGTAGTGCATACATCCCTCAGCCGTGAACTGTCTCCTCTCGCTTGCCTCACCTACTCCTCTGACCTGGTAGCATTTTATCCATGAACTAAATTCTGTCATAATCATCTTATTGTTGTTGTTATTTAGGGTTATTTGTGAACGGCATATTAATTATTTGCAAAGAATGCCACCAAAGATCCTAAGATTATTTTCTTCTTTTACTTTGATTGCTCATCCTTTTGAAGACCTATTTATATTTTAAAATCTACCCAACAAATTCTTTTCAAAGAACAAAGTTAAATTTTAGCCCCAACTATAGTTTTATCATGAATTTTAAAATAGTGATATTGAATGAAGAATGCTCTGCCTTGTTTTTTATTGTACTGAAGAATGGTGTCATCTCAAAAGCTAAGGTCACCTCTGGTTTGCTGGGTAGGTTGATGGTTTCGGGATCGGCCGCCTTGCCCCTACCTGTGCTGGAGAAGTGGAAGAACATCACAGGCCACATCCTGCTGGAGAGGTATGGGATGACGGAGACCGGCATGGCCTTGTCTAACCCCCTGACCGCAGCAGCTCGCCTGCCAGGTATGCACAGTGCCCACCAGCTGTGGACTCTCCCTCTGTACCCCTCAGGTGGGCCAGTGTATAGAGGATGCCGCCCCACCGGGCCTGGAGAATCGCCTATTCCCTTTGGACACTCACTTTTCTCCCAAATGGTCAGTTAAGGACAGGACAGAAGGCGTTCTTTATACCAGTGTCCTTCTCGGGTGACCTGGAGAGACAGGTGAGAAGAAGGGGAACTACCAGAATCCCTGTGCTTGGCAGACTACCTCCTAGCGTGGGTGCTGCTTATATCCAGACCAAGTCGGCCACTGGCAAGAGCCCCCCTCCCAGGTTCCCTGAGCCATTCAAGGCCAGTGTCAGGAGAGACAGCAGGTGTGGGGGGAGGGGGTGAGAGTATCCACCACCTGTGCTCAGTGACCTACATGCATCTGGATGACCCACTGCTCTAGACGGGTTTTTGTCCTTTGGTCTTCCTGTCCAGCCTCCTCTAAGATGTTCCACTCCGACTTTCACTTAAACAGACCTTCACATCCTGGGTCCTTAACAAGCAGAGAAAAGGCCCAAGATGGGAATGTGTTCTGTCTGTTCTCAGCCTTCTCCTTGTTCTCACGAGAAGTCACCTCCAGTGTGTCCAAAACACAAGCGATGTCTCATTAGAAGTAAAAGTAAAATAATCCTACATCTATAATTTTAGCTGTAGATCTGTTTATCTTGTATATACAGTGAAATTCACCCTTCTCATGTTCAGTTCTGTGAGTAGTCGTGTAGCTACCATCACACCCAAGATATAGAAGGGTTGAATTGCCTCAGATTGCATAGTCAGCACCTCCTCCCCACAGCCAGGTAGGCACTTACTTGTGTTTACACAACCTTTTGGATCTGGTTTCTCTTACTTAGGATAAATCTGAGACTTCTCTGTGTCGTCACATGTCCCTTTACATTGCCACATAAGATTCATGGCCACTGTTTGTTAAACTGTTCACCAGCCGAAGGATACTGGGTTATGTCTAGTTCTGGATGGTTACCAGCAGAGCTGTTGTAAACGTGGTGTGCAGAGATTCATGTGAGCATTGTCTTTGTTTCTCATGGGTAAATCCCTCGGAGTGGGATTGCTAGGTTAGAAGGTAGGTCTGTGCTCCGCTTTCTAAGAAGCTGCCCAACTGTCTCCAGAACAGCCCCTGATATAAGGATGACCTTACCAACTGACAGACAAGGACTGAGGCTTCAAAAAATCATGTAACCTGCCCAAGGCCACAGAGCGAGTATATGACCGAGCAGACATTCACACCATTAGATAGGGATGCCCACTTTGCTAGGGCACAGTGGCACAGTAGACAGCCCAGTCTAAGGAAGAAAAGGGGGCGGGGAGGACAGGAAACCTTCCGAGCCTTTATTACAAGAGCAAATACAAGGTTGAGAAGCCAAGACCAGGAGCCAGAACGGGATGGAGAGAGCAAAGGGTGATGTAGGGACCATCCGTAGGAAGGAGACTTGGGGATTGTCTGCAGGCAAGTTGCAAGTCGGAGGCTCAAAGGCCCAGCTGGGGATTCACCCTCAGATGGTGTAGGGAGCCAGGAAAGCAGCCACCCTGGACAGAGATACACCAAGAAGGTTCCCAACTGTCCTGGCCTTCTCCAGTTCCCTCTGATGTGGAACCTCAAGACTTGTTTATTGGGCAGAAATTTTTGAATCTTAAATTATGGCTACAGCTCTTACTCAGGCCTCAAAGACCATGCGTGGAACATTAGAAAGTAAACTGGGTGTAGTTACTCTTCTAAAAACTGGTATTAAATATCCATGATGGTTTCTCATCTATAAAGCAAGCCTCTAACAGTCAAGTGCACTGCTAGTTCTTTGGTTTGGGAAAAAAAAGTGAATAAAGTAACCCTCAATATTAAATTCAAGTGTGCTACATGAAAATCCCTAAAATACATTTCTTGAAAAATCAGGTTGAGGAGGTTTTCTTTAGATCTCTGCACCTCTCTTCCTGGGCTGGGGCTTGTTTCAGCCAGAGGCTGTGGACTCATGTTGGAGCCCCAGCCTGTGTCCCCTTCACACTCAGGACACAGCCATGCTGCTCCTCCTGACCTTCCTACACCTGCTCCCAGCGCGGGGGTTGTTTCTGGAGGCCCCTTTCTGGTGCCTGCACAGCCTCTAAACGATGCTCCTGTGGTCGCCTAACTACCACTAGGATTCATTTAAAGGCTCTCAAAACCTGACGGGAGCATGGAAGGGCAAGGTCACCCTCAAAGGAGGGACTCACTGCGTGAGGGTGGATGTTTGCCGAGTGTTAAGCTCTGGGTCTGATCCCATCGTTCATTCCCTGTGTCCCATGTGGGTACCGTGAAGGGAGATGAATAATTCATGGCTGAGTGCTGCTGGGCCTAATGACACTCTAATTGGTGGTTGAGATCAGAGGCGCTAATGGCTCCTGCAGTGGGACTCCGTGGATCATTGACAGGAGCTCCAGGACCTTATTGGCCTGTTTCCATTCTCTCGGGACCAGCTGCAGAGCGGCCTCGCTCCCCAGATGCTGGACGGAACTGCAGGCCAATTAAAGTTATCTGGAAAGAGCTGACAACTGTTTTAGAGAGGCGGAAGAATGACATGCCCCTTCTGACTGTGGCCAGCACTGCTGCCCGGATGGACGCTGGGAGGGCGGCACTGTCCACGTGGTGCTAAGCAGGGGCACTATCCACATGGTGCTAGGTGGGTGGCACGGTCCACGTGGTGCTAGGAGAGTGGGATGTCAGCATGGTGCTAGGGGGTGGCTGCTGCCAATTGAGCCTGTTCTGCCAGGGCCAGCATGGGGGTGGGGTGGAGTGTTTGCGGGGCTCTGTGGCTGCCCCACCCCTGGCTTCAGTCTCTTCCCTGTGTGGACTTCACTTTAATGAATCAACAGGGCTGTGAAACTGAAGTCATTGTCTCTGCCTTGACAGTTTAACTCTATTGTTGTGTTTGTGATGCCATGATTAATTAATATTCGGTCAGCACTTTCATTATAGAGCTTAACGGTTTGTAACTTTCACTTTGAGAGGAGAGAAGAGGCCTTACTGAACAGAGAGGAGCAGGAAGAGTGTGTGTGGAGGGGTAGTTTCCTCCTTATTAAAAAAAAATATTCAAAAGAGAAATGAGTGGATTGAAAGGAGGCAGGCAGAGGGTGGTGGATGGGGAGGCTGGCCTTTTTGCATTCAAAGAGGAAGACCATGTATCTCTTTTCTGATGAGAAATATATATTTGGTCTTTGTCCTTATTCCTGGCACAGACCTCCTAAAACTCTTGGAATTTCCTAGGTCCTAAGTGTCTTTATTTATTTATAACAAGCCTGTTTCAACCACACCTGAGTTTGTGTTAATGCGATGACTTTTGGAAGACTCCTAAGGATGGGGGCTGGTTGTCAGGGGAACCAACCAGGTGATTGGAAGGTTGAAATTCAGCCCCATCCCAACCACCTGGGAAGGAAAAGAGGCTGGAGGTTGAATTAATCACCAGTGGTCAATGGTTTAATCAGTCGTGCCTGCATAATTGAAATTCTGGTGAATACATGGAGGTGCTGGGAGGGTGGCTCGCCTGGAGAGCATGGAAGCTCGAAGCCCCTTCCCCCATACCTGCCCTAGATACTCTTCCATCTGGCCATTCAGAGATTGTATCCTTTATGACAACTGGTCTTCTAGTAAGTAAACTGTTTTTCCTGGATTCTGTGAACAAAAAAAAAGGAAGGGGTTGTGGGAACGTCTGATTTGTAGTCAAGTCAGACAGAAGTTGTGGTTAACACCAGTTGTTACTGGCATCACTAAAGTGACCTACTGAAGGTGAGGGGCAGTTTGTCAGACCAGGTCCTTAACTTTCTCCACATGTGCTCCCTGCAATAGCTATGTGCCTCCCCTGCCTGAGGCCTCCTTGTCCACACGCATCTCTTTGTGGTCCCAGGACCTGGATGGAGCCTCTGTTTTCTTCCTGTTGGGGAGACAAGCGCAGGGCTTACACTTGAGGAGGCATTGCTGTCTGAGAGGCCTCTGTAAGGCCTGAGCAGGCGTCATGCCACCAAGATGGGCCTCTCGGAAGAAAGGGAACAAGGAGCAAGTTGGCTTTTATTTCTGAGTGAGGTGGTTGGTCCTGCTTAAGATTCTGTACTTAAGTTGATGAAGTGCCTGCTGATGAAATAATCACATTCTGCCTGATTGCTTAAGGTGTGTTCATGGAACTCTTTATCTCTGGCAGGTACTTGAAGAAATCATATCTGACCAGTCTCAGAGGGTAATAAATCAATTTCCAGTATTTGCTGTTTTCTCGTTATTCAGGCTAATCACCCTGCCCAGCACTACATCACCCTTGTTCAAGCAGCAAGAAACATCTTATTGATACAGATTACGGGAGTGTTGTAAGCTCCACAGGGTCTGCAGCAGTGCCAAGGGCACCAGGTCAGTGTGGCCTGTCTGAGCATCCTCCTGCGTAGCCTCAGCCCTGCCTCTCACATGCGGCCTTTCTTTTCTGCACATTATCTGCCCAATTCCTCCCTTGAACTGTTTGTTTTGTGGGGTTTACACACATACTAATCACTAAGGGCTAAAACCAAGGTTAGCCTACTGAAGCTTTCACCATGAAACATGAGCAATTGGGAGTATCTGGAGACCTCGGACCCCTGGCTTGGGCGAGCATCCCAGCAGTCAGGGCTGTGGCCCCGGCTTGTCACTCTGCCAGTGTGTCTGTTAGTCCTTATCAGACCATTAAGTCCAGAGAAGAGTAGTGTAGATGACAGGAGTTAAACTTGTCACTGAAAAGAGAGATCCACAAAGAAAGGAGTCATTTAGTCTAGAAAAGATGATGACCTTGAGATCAACTGGAAACTGAACTTAGTATCTGCAAAGTGGCAGCTGGTCTTCACTGTACCCAGGGTCAGGCTGAGCCATGCAGCAGGAAAAGCATGGCCTTTGAGGTCAGGAAGGTCTAGGCTTGGACCCACTTCCACATTCACAGGCTAGTCCTCCTCTCTGGTCTCTATGTCTTGTCTCCACACTGCAAATGAAATGCCCCTGCTGCCAGGTTATCAAGAGTCTTGAGTGTCCTGGTACCTATGTAGATGTGCCTCAAAGAAGAGATGGGGGGATTATTCCTTTTATATGAAATGTCCAGAGCAGGCAAATCCACAGAGACAGAAATCAGATCAGTAATGCGGTGCAGGGGGATGGGAGTGGGGTGGGGGTACAAAGTGGCTGCTGCTAGGTACAGGCTTCCTTCTGGGGTAATGAAAAGTTCTGGAACTAGATGGTGATGATGATTGCGTAACACCATGAATGTGGCAGATGCCACTGAATTGCCACTTTATAATGATCAATTGTATCTTATATGGATTTCACTTTAATTTGAAAAATCTTTGGAAGCAAAAAAAGAAGGAGGAGGAGGAGAAGGAGAGAAGAAGGAGAAGAAGAGGAGGAGGAGGAGGAGGAAGAGGAAGAAGGAGAAGGAGAAGGAGGAAGGAGAAGAAAGAAGAAGAGATAGGAGAATGCTGGTGTCTCTGCTTCCCACAGGACAGGGATGCATTTCAGACCAGAGTTGAGGAGCGAGACCTCCAGAACATGAAACAGCAGAGAGCTCAGGGTTATAGGGCCCAGGCTGTACCCCACCAAGACCTGAGGCACAGAAGACAGGTCGAGGAGGACAACAGAGCACTGTTGTAGTAAAATGAGACTGATGTAACAGGCCGTGTGAAATATCTGCATGGAGGACACTGAGTGGATTGCAGAGAGTTTGCTGACCTGGCTCCCTGGGACGTTTATCCCCTAACAGATCCTCGTTGAGTCCAGCTATTAAAACAAAGGGCCTGAGACTTTGAAGTGAATTCTCACTGATGCTGAGTGTTTGGTGTTAGAATCTCTGTCCCACCTTAGTCGTTCATTACAGTGGCTGTGGGGCACATCCTCGTCACCTGCCTACCTGTGTAGGTTCAAAGTTTGATTGTAAGCTGGCCCACCATGCTACAGGCTTTGGTTGGGATGTAGACACTGAATAAACCATACGAGCTAATAAATGAGCCAGAATGCCAGTGATATGTTTTCCCCCTGCCATGAGGATCCCTGCTCACCTCCTAACTTCTGGCATCGGTGCCCCTTGGGACCTTCTCTGTACAGGAGTATTTCTATGTTCTTTACTGCTCAGTGAGGTGCTGGAGTACAAGTGGAAGCCATCCCAGCATCCTGCCCTGGGTGCCGGCAGGCCTTCCCGAGGTGAATGAAGGTGCTCTGGAGCATTCGGAGCTAGGCCTCACCCCCTGTTGGCAGCTGCGAGTACTGGCGGTGCCTGCTGCTGCTGCTGCTGCTGCTGCTGCTGCTGCTGCTGCTGCTGCTGAAGCAGGGTGGGGCCCCGTGCTCTTGGTTCTCGGGTCTTCTCCCCTCTGTGCGTGACATCCAGGTGGGATCTGAGCACCTCAGGCATGCGGTCTTCTCCTTCGGAATGCCTCTGACCCATCTCCTTTCTCATGTTTCTCCTTTCCCTGCAGGTTCTGTGGGCATCCCGCTGCCAGGCGTTGAGGTGCGCATTGTCTCAGAAAATCCAAGCCCTCAGAAGGAGGGTTGCTCCTACATCCTCCATGCGGAAGGAAATGAGAAGGACACTAAGGTGAGTCATTCTGCTCTCAGCTGGCAGCACATGGGCATTGCACGATCATGACCACCCAGCAGGCCAGTCACAAAGGTTGAAGATCTCTCTGCTTTGGAGATGGAGTCGCCACTGCACAGGGACAGCCCTCCTGGATGATGGAGATGCTAGCTGGCATTTGCCATGGGCGTCCACTAGTGTTTCCAGGCATTGCCCACCATGTGGACAGTGTAAGAGGACAACTGAGGCCCAGCTGTGCCCTGACCCCTAGCACTCTGCCTGACCCCTCCCTGGGATCCATCCACTGGGATTGCTTTGAGTTGAGTCATGACAGCCTTGGCTAAGGACAGTCCAAGTTAAAACAGATCGTTGTAGTTGAGACATGGTTAAAAATTCTATGTTGGTAGGACCCTAGCACCCACTCAGAGCGGACGCCGACACAGACTGCCAGGGCAGGTGTAGCTGCTGCAGCAGCCTTACTGAAGGCCTTCGGGCAGTTCACAGGGCCCCAGAGAATTAAGGTTACCCACTTCTACTGAGATCATTGGTTCCTCTCTTAATTTCTATGTTCTAAAATTGGCAAGGGTGAAAAAGAAGAAGAAAGGAACATTGTCTTATTTGTTTTAGTTCAGTGAAGATTTTAATAGCTACAAAAGCGCTGATCCTAAATGAAGGGGAGTCCCGGAAAGGTTTAGAGATTAGTGGGAAATGGAATTTTGATTTAAAAGGAAATTATTTTCTCTGTAGCTAATATCCATACTAGACATCACATGCGATTGGTTTTTGTTACCCTGAGGTTTCAAAAATGAAAATATTGAGTCCTCATTCTACCTTTTCCTTCTTCATGAGCATCACTGGCCCAGTCAGACTCCCAGTTCTGCATCTCACCTGTGCAAGGAGAGACTGAGGACAGGACTTGCCCTGTGGGACACAGTTTTCACATCTAAAATGGGAGGACTGAGGAGATTGTTGTTGAATGTTTTCGTGTAAGGAAATAGGTGGAAATTGGATACTTTTAAGTGTAATATTATGAAAATTTTCAGAATGACATCAAGAAGTAGGTATTCTCTTTACCTAAGAAAACCTCTTACCTGGTGGGCCCTTAGGCACACAGAATGTACCCACGTAGAGGCCCGCCTGCAGCCCTCGCTGGGTTGTCACTCTCTCAGGCTCTCTTCCCCAGATGTGACAACCTCCAGACACGGCCTTGCTCCTTCACAGCCTATGGGCAGTTTCCGTGGCACTCTTAGGGTCCTGAGCCATTGCTGTCACTCCCTGACAACCCTCTGCCTGGGCTCTCGCCTCTGCCCCATTGGTCCGTCCAGAGCCTTCAGCCACAGTCACACTTTAGAATCCTTTTCTGGCTCTCAGCCAGTGCCCTGTACCACCCATTCTGCCCTTGACTCCTGATAGATCCTGTTTACACCCAGGTCACCAGCCTCCCTGCATTTCATAGCTGCTTCCCTGCTAGATGCTCAGGCTGTGCACTGGGCCAGGGATGGCCAGCAGAATGTGCAGGCTGGGGTGTGGGTTCAGGGACACTGCTCCATCAGGACGTACCCAGCAGAGAAACTGGTGGGTGTGTGTGGGTCCACCAGGCACTAGCAGCACAGGCAGCATCATCCATGACTCTGCCACCTCCACCAGGTGCCAGTCACCTGATGGCTCGGCTTCTATGTGCACCTGTTCTGCTGGAGGTGGCAGAGGTGCTGCCAGAGAGAAGGAGTGGGGGTGGGGAGCAGCTTCTTAAATTACAATACAATTTAACTGCTTCGCACCTGCAGTGGCAAGCGGCTGGCCATCTGACAGCTCCTTCTCTCCTGTCTTTGTTTCAGTCTACAGAGAGTTGTGCATTGAAACGTGCTTAAAATAGAAAGAACTGGCAGCCCTAGCCTGGAGCGCCTTGACAATCAGAGAGAAGAAACTACTTGTTCTGCAGGGTGGGGGCTGGAGGAGAGCAGACGCCAACAGCTGGGGGCCCAATGGGCCATGGAGGTTAGAGGGGAGATAAGGGAGCTAGGGTCTCCTTCCTTCCTGCATGATGAGCCCCATACAGACACATCCTGTCTAAATGTGAAAGTAAGGAGATTTAGCACTCATGATGGCATGTTTGGGGTGTTCTAGAACATTTCCAACTCAGTGAAGGGATCAGTGTGACAGTCAAGACTGGAGCCTGCCTCAATGGCTGCACGGAGGCTGAGGACCACTCCATAGGAAGAGACACCAGAGGGCCTGTTGTCCCATGCGCAGGGTTATGGCAGTTCTGGGCCTAGTGTTCGATCCTATGACCAGTAAGGCTGAGCTAGGCAGAGGCCACCCCCAGGTGACCAGGACCATAGGAGGGACTCCCAGGTAAATCTCAGCTGCAGGGACCTGCTTTTCTTTCCCTGTGTTCTTGTTTGAAGGAGCCCCCTACCGTGGCACAATTTGCCTGACGCCAGCTACAGTGCAGTAGAACACATGATCTCGAGCATGTTACCTGCGAGGGCCCAAGCCCGTAAACAGCCTCATGGTCTTGCCCATGAGTAGAGTGGTGGCCCCGCCCTCTTGGTCTTGATGGCATTTGTCAAAATTCACCTTTTAGAAGTGGAGACTCAGAGATATTTTTCACCTTCCCCCATACCAGGACTTTGTAAAGTGATAGCGAAGCGGGACTCGGGCCATGACCTACATAGAACTTTCCATTTGGGCGCTCCACTCCGTGGGATGCAGCCGCAGCTTTGAGCCGAACAGGGCCCATACTTCCATGCCTGTGCCTCTCCAAGAGCCCATCAGCACTGCAGGGAGTAAGACAAACCCCAGGCAGGGTTAGGCCAGCAGGCATGAAAACTGCAAAGACTAGGCCATCCTGAAGGAAACGTGTTTCTGTCAATTTCAGTGACATGTTGCAGCAGAAACAGGAACTAACTTGTGGCCTCGTTGGGGACTGTGATTACTAATAAGTAAAGGAGGAAGCTGTGATGCACGTAGTGACCGTTGGTGTGGGGTGGCCTCTGTGATGCTGCAGGAGGTCGCAGTCTTCTCGGTTCTTACACAGATTGTGAACGTGCTGCTGAAGTGTTGATACTGTCTCTGAAAAAGGGATTCGCCAAGCAAAATCTTTCCAGTTCTTATCTAATGCATTATAAAGTCTCAGTGCAGCCCAAACTGCTAAGGACTGATTTTTTAACATTCAGAAGTCAGGATGGCGGAAGACGATTTATTTCAAGTGGTTTTTAATTTTTAATTGGAAATAATTTTAAACTCACAGAAAAACTGCAAAAATAACAGTACAAAGAATGCCCATACACCCCCTCACCCAGATCACCTACCATTAACATCGGCCACTTTCTCCGCACACACAGGATTTCTCTGCCTCATGAGCCATGGCACGTCACCAAAAAACACTCCATAGCCTGGTGCTCACTCATGTGACTGTGGCACAGGATTGGCATTCGCTGGTATAACGCCCTCGCAAGCTTCTCTGTCCCACATTGGGGTGTTCCTCTTATCTGCTCACCCTGCGACGTCATGTGTGGCATCTTCCCTCCACTGCAGGTTCAGTCTGGGGTCATGTGTCTTCTTGGCTTGTCGTGAAGGCAAGTCTTGAACTTGGAAATACTTTCTTCTTAGTTAGACAGTCACCAGGCCTTTAGACCTGAATGACAGGCATGATGTCAGCACAGGTAGTATTTATCAGAAAGAGAACATGTCGACTGAGTTAGGAGTGTGCTGCATGGTGACAGTGAGTGTGGAACATGAAGGTTTGGGGAGGACACCTTCGCTGAGAACCTCCTCAGGGCCAGCCTGCTGTGGGCACCATGGCCTCGGCTTCTCCCGTCCACTCCTTTCTTTCATCCAACTAGCACATGAGGAGACCCATCTGGGCCAAGCACTGAGCCCCATGTCGCTGTCAGGATTGGCAGACAGCTATCAACAGTGATGGTGCCCATTGTGGCACGTGCAGTGCAGGGTGGGTGTCCCTTAGGCCTCTGAAGCGTAAGAGCACTTGGTGCTTCTTTGGCCAGAACCCACCACTGAGAATCAGGAGTGAGTGGCCAGGGCTCTCAGGCCTCTATCTGCCCTGAGAAAGGGAGCCCCCAGGGAAGATGGGAGCCCTGCCAGGGCAGAGGGGCAGCTAGGCCGTGCAGTACTTTCCAGAGAGCAGGAGGATCCCCGTTAGCTCCCGCACACGCCCACATCACCCAGTAGCTGTGCAGGCAGGGAGGGATAAGGCTAGGGGTCGGGGGCGCTGGGGAGGGAGGCTGTTTTGGGTCGGGGGAAGACTCATTTGGCCTGGATGTGTGGTAAAGCACACCTGTGTGCCCTGCGGAGCACAGTCTGGGCCCTCACTATGGGTCCTTATACAGTGACACCATCGTGTCGTCTTGTCCCTGAGTGTGGGGCTGCCCTGGCCACAGCTGCTTGACAACATGGCCGGCATCCCCGGCACTCACTTGTCTCAGCCATCTGTGGCTCTGCTGCCCGTGCTTCCTGAGTCTTGCAGCTTTGTCTGGTGAGACTTCAGGTGCGAGAAGAGTGGGCACCCTTCCCCTCCCCCACAGGGAGGTTCTTCGGCACCATTTGAAGTGGTTCCACCTTCATGGTTTCCTCTGTCTACTGTCTCCTTGCTGGGCTGGTTAACATGCCTGCCCAGATCTGGGGGGCTTTGTTTGCTACAATGCATCTTTCACGTGCCACAGCCTCCAGCTGGCTCCCGCCTGTAAACTCTGCGAGCACGTCGCACACTGTCTCTTTATTTATTTTATTTATTTTTTTATTTTTTTTGGAAATTGCTCACTTACATGAGAGCTTAACATCAGCCAGCAACAATGGGGTCCATCAGCAGATAAAGGGCTTCACAGCTGTACATAACACACAGGGTAACCAGGCCTTCACACAGAATCATCTTGCTGAGGATGCAAAGAGACCCACGTGGGATGTGCATGGTATGGAGCAGGAGGACAGCAGCAGTGAGCTCTGCTTCCTTTTATTTCCCCTTAAAAATTAATTATCTCGTAGTTTATCCATATGCAGGCTGT